CAGTTAGGAATTTCGAATAGCACGTTAGGAATTTCGAATAGCACATGTATGAGTTCCTATGAACCCAAACAGCAATGGGCAGCCCCTATGCGGCTTCCTACGAACCCAAACAGTGGTAGACATCGCCTATGTGGCTTCCTACGAACCCAAACGCTAGTAGACAGCACCTAGATGGCTTCCTATGAACCCAAACAGTAGCGGACAACACCTAGATAGCCTCCTACGAACCCAAACAACTTCCTACGAACCCAAACAGCTGTGGGCAGCACCTAGATGGCTTCCTACGAACCCAAACAGCGGTGGACAGCACCTAGGTGCCTTCCTACGAACTCAAACAATGGTGAACAGCTCCTAGGTGGCTTCCTACGAACCCAAATAGTGGTGGACAGTACCCATGCGGCTTCCTAAGCACCCAAACAGTGGTGGACAGCACCTAGATGGCTTCCTACAAACCCAAACAATGGCTTTGGAGCTTTGGACAACACCCTACAATGCCCCTGTACTCCAAGCAGTGGCTTTGGAGCCTTAGATAGCAGCCTATAGCACTTCCATACTTCAAACAGTGGCTTTGGAGCTTTGGACAGCAGCCTACAGCGCTTCTACGACACCAGGCAGCGGCTTTGCAGCCTTGGGCAGCACCTTACAGCGCCCCTATACTCCAAACAATGGCTTTGGAACCTTGGACAGCAGCCTACAACACTCCTATACTCCAAACAGTGGCTTTATGTAGGTCTTTGGAGCTTAGGACAACCTATAGCGCTTCTACGACACCAGGCAGTGGCTTTGGAGCCTTGGGTAGTGGTTCTATAGCTGCCTACGATCCAAGACAGGCGCACTTGAAGGCTCCAAAATCAGTGGAAAGTGCAGCCCTTACATACTTCTCCAAATAGTTTATGTATTGAGCTAAGATCGTGAAGGTGCCGACAAGCTTTAAGGCTTCCCATGGGCTGTCCAACAGCGGGATCTATGAAGGAAAAATTCATCAAAACAATGATCCATAGTGCTCAAAATCAACTCTTATGGCTCGTCCAAAATCAGCGTACTTGAGAGCTCTAAAACACCCTATGCAGCCCCAAAACCATGGTCAAACATGCCACCCAACAGTCCCAAAGCTACGCTCAAAACAACCGTAAAACAGTCCCAAAATCATACTTTTGAAAGCTCCAAAACTGCAACCAAATAAGCCATGAAAATCATCCAAGAATGCTAAATAAATAATGCCCCCAAATCCCTCACCAAAACTATGTAAAAGTGCAACTAGGGCAGCATATGAAATACTTAAGAGCAAGACTCTCTCCAATAAACATAGCAAGTGAAGTTTAACTTGCTCCAGGCGGGATAAAAGAAATGAATTATAGCTATGACCCTAAACCTTGGTACATGAGTTTCCAAAACACATCAACAGATTATGGCCAAATGAATATATAACAAATGTTTGAATAACAAATCTATAAGAAAACTGTCATAAGCAAATCTTTACGTCATTTGTATTTTGAAAACTCTTATCCTATTAATTACTGAAAGTTTAGCGATTAATGGTAGATGCAAAAGTTGGACAGTGGATAAAAGGCACACTACAAAAATAAGTATTATCATGCAACATGTTCTTTGCAGACCACAAACAATTACTTAAATCATTTTATCTTCACCAACAAACTCAACCTCATAACAGTGCAAAAGGAAGCTACCAACAAATGAGCTCCCGGGGCACACTAGTTTCATATCATCATTTAGTTAGCAATGATAAAAAAATAATTTCCATAGTCCGCTCAAAGCTTCTGAACGAGAAGAAATTCGAATAAGGAATCTTACTTGGGAAGATGATGATCTCTTGATTTGAGGAGTGAAGAAAAGGGGAACCGGGAGGCTTCGGTGAAGGAGAGGAGGGAAGGCGAGGCTTCTGTCGAGAAGAACAAAGTGAGGTGAGGGATTCGGCGCTGAGAAAGGAGGGAGTTCGGTCGAGCACGAGTCTACGTCGCAGAGAGGAGAAGCGAGCAGGAGCTTCGATCGGGAGGTGCGATCGGGTCGCAGAGGAGGAGTAGGATCGAAAGGAGCAGGCGTCGAGCGGGGACCTTCGGCGCAACAAGGAGTCAAGCGAGGGTTTTTGTTCGCAGAGGAAGGAGAGTTGAATTGCAGGAGCGGGAGATTAGTATCGGAGCCGAATTGAGCGAACCAGGAAGGAAGAAGGCAGGCGTGAGATGAAGGTGAGAAGATGGGGTTTGGTCTTCAGTCGAGTTAGATGAGGAAGGCGAGGGTTCATGTTCGCAAAGGAGGCGCAGGTGAGGCGTAACAAGAGCGGGAGAGCTGAGCGGAAGAGAGAAGCTCGAGAGAGGCGAATCGAGGAGACTGCGGAGGAAGAAGGCGAGCCTTCCTTTTAGAATTGGAGCGGGGTTAATTAATCAGGAGTCGTTACTCTCAAAGCAATTGGCGGGGAAATAAATGATTTCCATATGCAGGGAGGTTCAATTGGAAAGCATTAACACCTGAATATTTTTAATTAAGACAAATTCAAATAATTTGTTTGAATTTTGAAATTTGAATTTCAAATTCAGGTGAGTCGGTGCCTAGCCATTTTTCAGCCTGAGTTCAGCCTCAGCCCGAGTTCAGCCTAAATCGAACCCGAGTCGAACCTGGGTTGAGTCCGAGTCAGTGCATCGCTACTAAATCGAACCCGAGTCGAACCTGGGTTGAGTCCGGGTCGGCGCATCGCTAAAAAAAATATGCATTGAAATTCGTGCTAATCGCTTGCGCGGAAAACCATAATAATACGAGTGTCTTTCCTAGCTAAAGTTGACGTCTCGGACGCATCCATTTGGTCTGTTTAGTCATCTGGGGTCGTCTGGACGAGTTCGCAGACAGGCGAGTCAATTTAAATCAAAATCGTACGGGGTGCGATGCGTGTGCAAAATGCGGCGTTTGCGAGTGCTCGAGTCACAAAAGGTCTCCTAGGGGCTGCTCCTATTAATGTAGAAACACAACTTGAGTTTCATGTGTCGATCATAATCAACTCAGTGAAAGGCCGAAGATTCGGGACCGCCCATGCGAGACTCGAAGGAGTGACGAGTTGGCTCGAATTTTCCAAATGGTGTGAGTCTGGTACTAGTCCTCTAAGAGGGTCAAACAAAGAAAACCTAAGGCTAAACCCTAGGTTCTGAGGAGAGAAATAAAGACATCCAAAAATGAGGTCAACAATTAGACACTTCATTTGTATATTCTAAGGAGAAGCATATATAGTTTTCTGCATGCAAAAAAATGAGTGCATCATGCAAACGTGGGTAACAAGAAGGGAACCAAGTATTATGAGAGAGAGACCCGAGAGAGAAAAGAGGATAAAAAAACATCAAACTAAATTTATTTATTAATTTATTTGATTTAGTCAAGCAAACCTAATTATAAAAGTAGGGTTTAAAAAAGAATAACAAAGCAAATCAAATCGAATTCAAATCTAATCATATCTAATTCTAAATGATTCAAAGTTCAAATCAAATATTATTCAACAGGATAATCAAACCTAATCTCAATTAAAATAAAGTCACAAAAACAACATAAAATACAGAATCATCAAGCTCGAACATAGTCTCTAATTTCAGCTCAATAATAGTCTCAATCACAACCTAAGGTGTATAACGAGATTCAACCACAAATGATTGCTCATAATCACCATCAAGTTCATATGTAAAGCATCAAATTATCATAATAATAATAATAATACAATTCATAGATGAGTAAACTCAAAAAAAGATCATATTTCTGGAGGACTTGTGATGGTGACACAATTTTCTTAATTTTTTGAATTGATATTAATGGAATCCAATATATCGGCTTAATATAATAATTGTCGAACAATTCCTCAAAGTGTAGAAATTTTCAGCTATATTTCCAATCATCCTTAGCCAAAGCTAAGTCACATCCAAAATAAACTTATAAGAATGTTGATGAAATTTATGAAATAAACCAAAAAAAATAATAACAGTGATACCATAGTGAACATTGAGAACTTCGAAAATTCACAGGTAGAGTGGTAAGAAGGAAGGGAATCATAGTATGATTTTAATATTAAATGACACAGATCAAAATGGCAAGAAGGGGAACCAAGTATAAAGAGAGGAAGACCCAAGAAATGGCAAGAGGAGGAAGGATAAAATACAAAGTTCAATCTTAGGATTCTTCAATTGTATCAATTACAAGCCATAAATATCCTATTTATAATAGTGTTTATAAGATGCAATCAAATCAAAATAAATTTAAATCGAATCCTAAATAATTCAAAGTTCAAAACAAATATTACCCAAAGGAATAATTAATCCTTGTTTTACTCAAAATAAAACAAGAAAATTCTAATTGAAATGAAATATTTGAAATAAATCCTAAATCCAATTTCCTATGTTGGACACAAATTGGAAATAACCAATGCCAATCTAGCCTAGTTCTTTACCACATCAATCTAATTTAAGGCTTCCTCTCTAATTCTCTCTTCCAAATTCTTTTGATTATTATAAAGTCCAATGACTTATCCATGTGTAAAAAGAAAGTTAAAAAACCAATTCTCACATTTTGAGCCTAGTAAAATAATAATATATATTAATTAAATTTTCATATGAATGCTGAACTAAAAAGTTGTTGGCGCTGTTCAACAACACACATCCAAATAGATAGGCAAACAAATGTGATGAATTGCAGTTTATATGATCTACACTGGTGCTTTGTGGGCAAAAATATCAAACAGTGGGACTTAGTCCTTTCCCAGGTCGAGTTTGATTATAATTATTCCATCAATCACTCCACAAGTCACAATATTGCAATGATATTAATTAAACAAGGTGAAAGCAAATTACAGACAATAGCCAGTTAAATTTTGAATTTGCAATTCACTGGATATATTAGAAATACATTTCATGACCTACACTGGTGCTTTGTGGGCAAAAATATCAAACAGTGGGACTTAGTCCTTTCCCAGGTCGAGTTTGATTATAATTATTCCATCAATCACTCCACAAGTCACAATATTGCAATGATATTAATTAAACAAGGTGAAAGCAAATTACAGACAATAGCCAGTTAAATTTTGAATTTGCAATTCACTGGATATATTAGAAATACATTTCATGACAGTGTCTCATCCCATCAAATGCTTTTTCTCCTTGATTCTTGGCCAATTTTAAATAACAATTATAGTCCAGACTTATATCAGTTTCTCATTTACTGATTTAATCACAATAAAACACGAAGCCTTTATCAAAAACCCTCAAATTATTAAAAAATTAAACATTTTTAGCATAAGGGTGGTCAAGTATTTTTCTACTACCAAGAGTCAAAGACTCCAATTGTCTCATTTTATTGTGTGAAATGTTTCCAATTAAGAAGGATTGGTCAAACTCTCTTCTAATATTTTAGATCCATTCGTGTGAAAAAAAGCGCTACATCTAAAGTAGAAAAGACTTGAGCTCCTAAAAATGTGGAGTAGCTCTTAACAATTAACAACCCTTTGGGTAGATGAGCGTCTATATATTAATTTATTGGGTTAAAGTTAAGCTTCAGACCCCAATATTTCTCATCCTAAAGTCACCACCCTAAATGTAGAGTAAGTGAAAAGTTGAAAGAATATAAAAGCTTATAAATGAAGATAGCTTATCATTAGTAGAACAGAGATAACACATGATATGTAACTGTAGTAGGCGTGAATTTGATAATAACCAGTCAAATTTAGTGGAAGAAGATATTTAGGTATGATAAATGTTAACAATACAAAAAAATAAGTATATCAATTAGGATTTAACTCTATAGATAAAGCTAATGTGACCGTTTCAAAAGTGACAAGCAAAAAGATAATATTATGAAGACAATGTTAGATTTAACTACAACTAAAATAGCTATGCTTGATGATCTAAGTGTTGGGTAATAAAGAAGTCATAAATAATCAAATTAAGTATGAGTGAGAATGATTGTTAAAATGGAGTGTGAGGTAAAGCGGTAAAGCAGTGAACAATATAATGATTAAATTAGAGAGATGGTGGAAATTGGAACTAGCACAATTTGAAGATAACATAATAGAAAATAGTCATTTATGTTGAGTATCACATTCATCCTACCAATTGACAAAAATGAAATGAAGATAGTTGCAAAGCTAAATTGCCTACCAGAGAGAGGAATATTCACTTTTATGTGGTAATCAATGTCACCATACTCATTGGCTAATAAAATTGTGGGCCATAATAAGAGGGGAAAAGAATCTCAACAATCCAATTAACATCATGGATTCATTTTATTATAGTCTGAAAAAAGAAAATTGTTTTATCATTTTACTTCCTTTCATAGATGTTAAGATATTTGTCTGATAACAAGGATACCAGGAAAAAAAAAATAGATTAGAAAAACAGTGATATAGCATATTTTGAAGATAAATTGATAAAAAAATCAACCTTTTAGAAAGTTTAACATAAATGAGTAATTTTTGTGGAAGATGCATATTTTGGTTGATAAAAAGTTTACATACTTCTCATGTCCAAACCATTCTTTGGGTTTGATATATAGTTCTCATTTTACTTCTCAAAGGTTGCATGGTTAGAATTTGTGTCAAGAGATCAGTGCAAAATATAATATATGATGAAGCGTTTTGCAAGAATGAATAGAGAAAAATAGTCCATAAAGCAGACAAAAACTATTTAGGAAAAACCATTGAGGTTTATCATAGTAATGTATATAATACGAACTGTTGAGCTAGGCAATGATAAATGAAAAATGAAAAATAAACTAATTAAAAGTTGACTATGAAGTATGGGATTTCCTAGTGCAATCAATAACAACTGCTTGATGGATTACTGACCCAAAAATGCTAGTAGATATTGTTCCTTCAAGAGCAACAACAGCGAAGATATATAACCCATAAAGATATATAACCTATATGTTATTTAGAAAAATGCCCTATTTGCTTGCATGATTATCATAGCTGAGGTTACAAGTTGACTTGCCATCATTGGACATACAATATCACAATTTAAAATAATTCAAAAAAGCCTTTCAAAGAATATGACAATGTGATTGTTTTACATACCATATCATGTCCCTACACAAGGTCTATTGGTATTAATTATATAGTGAAAATGGAATTTCATATGCTATTTCTAGACACCCTAATGCATCCCCAAAAAATCATCATTATAATTAACCTTACCCCAATTATGTGGAGTCAACTTTACGAATCCACGATTTTCATTCATTATTATTTCATGTTGCTTGAGTTGTTAATATATTCTTCACAAATCATTTGTGTTGCTTCCATTTATGATATGTTGGGAAAAACATTTCTCCTTCATAATTATGTGATACTAATTTGCCTACTTTTCTAATAGGTGCATTTCCTATGCTTCATCTACATTTCCAAACCATCTAAAGCCTACTTTAAATTACTTTATATCTAATAGATTGACTCCGATCATCCATACAATATAATCAACTGTTAGCTTATCATTCCTAATTTATCATACAATTATTTTAGCATTTCATTTCTGCTAAGCGTTAATGAATTTTTTTAACTTCCCAACACCGCGATCTATACACAATTGTTGGCATAATTACAGCTTTATAAAATTTAACAAAATTTGTATGATATCATCTTATTGCATGGTACTCTCAAGGCAATTTGGAATGCAATTAAAAGGACTAGGTCAAAAAGATACCCATGATTGAAACGCGACCACAGAAAAGCCGGAACGGTGGCAGACGATGAATAGACATTGTGCAGTTGAGGAGCTAGAAGGGCAAACGCCCAGAAGATCGCCTTAATTCCGACCATCTCCAGCAAACAGCACGAAGAGAACAAAGAAAGTCCTTGGTGGCCTGTTTCACATCACATATATTACGATAATACACCTCCAGACAAACCCCTCTAGAAATCAAACTAATAGTAATTTAAATTATGTCGGGGAAGAAAATTGCAAAGACGATTCATCGCTCGAAGTTCGGGCCTTTTCAGAAAGGAACTTCGGATTTACAGGCGATGTCACGAATTAATGAAAATAAGAGGAATTCTACGCATATAGAAGTTGAATGGAGAAAGTTGAAATCTTTGGGAGGTAGAGATGCGCGCGAGACATGGCGTGATGAATAATTGCAGGAGAAACGGAGAAGAGGAAGAAGTGAGGGTTCTGGATGAGGATCGTACCTTGAGGAAACCTGATTTTGGTCCGTAAAAGTAGGGTTCTTATCGCTACAAGCAGAAAGGAACCATATCCTGCTCTTTTTTTCAGATAAACTTACCTGTTGAGATACCGGTGAGTGGTTATCGATGTAGGAATGCTGGATATCTAAATAATAATCTCAAAGTGCTATTTTTGCAATTGCCACAAAAATTTGTTAGTTTTTATAATTATCTAAAAAATGATTGTCAATTTTTTCTCTTAGCGTGTTCCTAATCTAACAATTTCGATGTTGTCACCTTTGTTTCGGGTAAATTTGCCATTAAATATATGTTTTTATTGACTATATTATTCACTAATCACTAATTACTCAATGTATGACCGACCACTCATTTAATATATTGGTGATTCTAGATCGGTTTGATGAATCAGTTTTAAAATTTGTCGAATTAATTGTAATTGAAAACAAAATTCAGAAAAATCAAATAAATCCAAATTTCAATAAAATTGAACTGAACAGAACCAAGTTTAATTTAATTTAAATGATTTGATTCTGAATAAACTATATATATATATATATATATTTAAAAAAGGTATTTTAACATAACCCGTGGTATGTAGTGTTAACTTTAGATAATTATAGTTTTTATTTTAAAAATTTATAGTTGATTCGAGTAAAAGTTTTTTTGTAATAAAGGGTTGTTCTAAATTTAAGATAGTATAAAAGTATAAGAATATGTATTTACTATTTAGAGTAGGAAAAATTGTATTTCTGAGACATTAAGGATTTTAGATCTACACTTTAAAAAGAAATCATTGATGTACTAATACACATTTTTAAGTAAAGAAATGTGAGAAGTTTTTAACTTTAGGAAGAGGATAATGAAGTTCGAAATCAGTAAGTATTTTCCAGATATAGCAATTCGTACATAAAAAGAAAAAAAAAGAAGAAACAAAGTAAGGATTGAAAATGATCCTGAAAGAAAAAAAAACAAAATAAAAAAACAGTGGGGAGAAGCTTCAAAAGATGCCTAATTAAAAATTGGCTTCATTTTAATTATCTTGAAGGATAAAAATTAATTACACTTCTGAGCTTATTCTTAATTTTAAAGTATTAGTCTATTTACTAGTAGAGTTCTCATGTTATTCTTTTTTTTTTCAATTATCCTATAATTCCTTAGTGTGAAACATTACACTTATTTTTGAAATAAATAGAAAATCAGAATTCCTAACTTGATTACCAAATATCTTTACATTTTAGTTCTAAATTGAGTTATTGAAAAATTTTCTAAGAATTTTACTATCACATTTAGGGAACAAAACTATAAAATTTTTTAAGTTAAACCCACTACCATAAGTTATTATATTTGATTTACATTAGTAAAATGGTTACTTGAGGATAAGTAACGTTTAAGTTTGGGGGAATTGACATGCCTTAACATTATCTATTTTAAATGTACATTTTGTGCTCATTTTAAGGATACTGAGCTTCAATGAAAGCTATTTTGTGTCTTGATACACCAAAAATATATGCATTTTTAGACCCATATTTTATACTCATTTTTGGTGATATTGTACTTTAATGGAAGATATTTTTATATTTTCTTATAGGTTGTTGAATTTTAGGACTTAAAGCAAAAAGGAAGTAAAAAGGATGAAATTTGGAGCAAAAATGAAGAAGTTGAAATTTTTTCAGCGTCGATAGCGTTAGAAGCAGCGCCAACGCTGCCGTTTGACAGAGAGGATGAATTAAATTGAGGGAAATTGGCGCTGACGGTGCCAATGTCGGTTCAGCCCCGATTTCCAGAAGATTCGACGAATCTGGACTCATTTTGAAGAGTTTTTGGAGGCACCTATTAAAGAACAGACTCTAGGCTTTATTTGGGGCCAAAATTGATTAGAAAGTAGACTCTTCCCAACTCGGTAATAACTCGTTCAATTTCTCCTCCCGGACTCTCAAATACTGAAGTAAATCTTGATTGAGCCTTTGCATTGACAAAGCAAGACTTGTCAAGCTCAAGTCGTCTCTTTTGTCGTGGAGCCATTTCAATCTAATCACAATTATAGAAAAATTCCAAAATTTACTTACCCCCGATTTTCAGGCGAGTCCAATTTCGTTGTCCAAAAATATCCAAATTTTGAGCTTTTTCATTTATCAATCTATGATATAATTTGATTTTTTTTAATGAACAACTTTTTTTTAATGATTCTAATTAATTTCATCATAAAGATTTTATTAGATTTTTCAGCCTATAAATTGGCCAAAGAAAGATTGTTTCAATCCATGCCTAACTGGTGATCCGGGATTTCCCAAAAGAAGAAAGTCGTTCATGTCTTGCGTTACAGGCAAGCAACAGAATCTTCTTTCTCGTTGCGGCGAAGCGTTGCGGGGAAGTGTTGTGGTGACTCATTGAAGCAGAGCGTCGGGGCGACGTGTTGCGGCGCGACACGGTGGCGCGTTGTCGTGATGCGTTGTAAGAGGAGGGGATAGAGTTCAAACTAGTAATAATAAATTCATATATATAACTGAAATAATATATAACTTTTAAGGTTTTATATAACATCAAAACAAAATCTGGATGTTGAACTCCTAGACAAAATAATTATTATATAGAATAACCATCTTGTTCACATCAAACGTTTTATTTAATAAAATAATATATAACGTTTGCTAATTAATAATAACGCATCACCAAACTGATGTGAACTATTCACAACGTTATATATAATAAAATTATCACATTTTTTGAGGAGTTAACTTGTGGATAACTATAAACATAAAAGTTAAATGTGAAGATTCATATAATACATTAATAGTTTGAGCATTTAATGGCTCCGTCCAATTTTCAGCATATAAACAGGGCTAAAGAAGATGGGGTAAAGTTATTGTGATGTGTCGTGGCGGTGCATCGCGGCGTTGCTGAGGTGCGTTGCAGCGGCGCGACGTGTTATGATGGTGTGCTACGGCAGTGCGTTGTGAAGAGGCGTCGTGGCGAGCGTTGTGGTTTGCGCGTTGCGGTTGTGCGACACATTGGATGTCCAATGTCATGTAAGAAGGTTATCATGGGGATAAATCGCCAGAGGCCTTTAACCTTACTAAGGCTTTGCATCAGAATGTTACTCGATGATGTTCACCTGTATAGGAGGAGCCAACTAAAGTCCACCTAGGACTTATTAACCCATCCAAATTTGTTTGTTAAAGCATTGTTAGCTTATGAATCTATGTGGAATGTAGTCCATCAAGGACTGTTAACCTATCTAGGGTTGTTTATCGGAGTAAAAACTCGATGATGTTAACCCATATGGAAAAGGTTAGATCAAATTCCTCTGGGATTGATCGTGCGCCAACTAAGATACAACCAAAGTTGTGTATTTCTCGACTCAAGAGCATGAAGTGACTCGTGAATGAGCTATTACACATTCTAAAGATATCCTTTATGTTAGGGAGAGTAAATGAACAATATTTGGGATTCATTGATCATGTATGAGTTGCGATGTAATAACATATTTAGATTACATTACTGGGGTGTTACTGATAGTACTTGCGAAGATTTTCTGCATTCCAAGTATGGGGCAGGATTTTCCTATCTTAATCCTTAAGTTTGAAGGTTCCAGGCTTGATCATGGCAGTCACAATATATGGGCCTTCCTAGAGAGGTGATAGTTTATTGCGTTGGGGGCCATGGTGACGGCTTCAATACTACGCAAGACCAGGTCACCGACGGAGATAGGTCGAGGTTTGACTCTCCGGTTGAAGTGGCGAGCAACCCTTTTACGGTATGAAGCAGCTCTAAGGTGGGCCACATCGCGTGTTTATGGGAGGAGATCCAAATGTTGTTTGAGCTTTTCCTCGTAGCTATCTTCGTCGAAAGTCTTAACTCGCGGATTTTGAACTCCGATATCAACTGGGATAACAAAACACAAGTTATATAGATTTTTCCCGATTGGAGTTCACGCGGTGGTGCAATTGGCCCAAATGACATTGTGCAGCTCTTCTACCCACTGCCCCCCCAGCCTTCTCAAGACGAGTCTTCAACCCCTTGAGCACCGTCCGATTTGTCACCTATGTCTATCTATTTATTTGGGGATGCGCCATAACAATATGCATCAATTGAATATGAAAATCCTTGCAGAATTATGTGAAGACTCTTCCAGTGAATTGTGTCTCATTATCAGTGATAATCTTCGAGGGGAGCCTAAAGCGACCGATGATATTTTTTCAGACAAATTGTTTGACATTTGCTTCAGTGGTCTTGGCAAGCGGCTCTGCTTCTACCCATTTGGTGAAGTTGTCGACAACTAAGATGACGAATTTTTGTTGTCCAGTAGCTATTGAAAATGGTCTCGTGATATCTACACTCCATTGGGCGAAAGACCAAGGACTCATAAATGATGTGAGTTCTACCGGTGATGCATGCATAAGATTGGAATGTAGTTTTCAACTCTTGCATTTTTGTACAAACTGTAACACTCTTTGCTTAATTGTAGGCCAGTAGAAACCTTGCCTCATTATTTTAAGTGCAAGTGCCCTTCCACCAAGATGCTACTCACATATTTCGGAATGAACTTCTTGTAGAGCGTAATCAGCTTCAGATGGAGGAAGACACTTGAGGTGTGAACCTATAAATATTTTTTTTATGCAGTTCATCCCCTATAAGGATGAAGTTGGCAGCCATGCGTCGGATGCGAATTAATGTAGTAGCATCATCTGGTAGTGTTCCGTCTCGGAGGAAGGAGATGATAAGATCCATCCAAGATGGCTCCCCTGGGTCATCTATAAACAGTATCACCCATGGGCCATGAAAGCTAGAAAAATGTGTCTTCTCAATACACTTTCTTTTATAGATATATCCAGTTGTTGAAATTGCAAGCTTGGAGAGGGCATCAACTCGGGTGTTATGCTCCTGAAGTATGTGAATGAGTTTGTTATGTTTCAATTTGGGCAAGAAGTGTTTTTACCAGACTGAGATATTGTACCAATTGTGAGTTATGAGCGTCAAATTCTCCTTCTCCTTGGGAT